AGGAGTTAAGGACAAAAGAATGGCATTTCGTTTTTATAATATAGATATAGATATAGATAATATAGATAAAGATAATATAGATAAAGATCAAGACAAGAACATCGTTTGCGCTGCTCTTCGCACTCTTGGTCAAATTTCTTTGATTTTTGCGTGTATTTACACATAAATTATTTTTATTTTGTTAATACTTTGAAAAGTATTTTGTTAATGTTCAGAGCATGAAATCGTATTTATACAACGGCAAAAGTCCTTCTTTGACTCACAACGGTAATTAATTAAAATGTCTGGTTCTAAAATCGCTCACTTAACTCATTTGGTCTCAGGGATTTTACTTTTGACCTCGTATTACAATATAGCCCGCAGCAATACATACGTTTGTATAAACAAACACAATTCAGGTGCCCGTTATGCATACGATTTCGTGCCCTGTTAGAATCATGACTTTTAAACTGTGAGTTATTTTTAACCGTTTCGATGCTTCAATTGTTATAAATCATTAAAAAGGTGTTTGTAACAGAGTCACTAGTCCACAGATCGGCCATAATTTGTTTTTTTTTTTGCGCGCATGTCAAATGAATGACGTTCTGCTCTTCGTGTATCAATGTTGCAGATGACCGCAAATGTGTTCAACCTTGGCGGGGAGAGCCAACGCGTCCATTGATGTCTACGATGAACCAAACTCTAATATAAACCGAGCGTCATCATACTTTTTGTTTACTTCTGTGGTTTTTTTGTGTCTGAAAAAAATAACTTGTTTAACTTGTTCCATTATTAATTCCTAATTTAAATCGCAATATAGTTACTGTTTTGTGGTTCAGTTCTCACAGTGCCATTGATTCGTTTGCATTAACATTTTTTTATCTAAGAATTTTTCTAAAGAATTTAGTGATTTTTCAATCAAAATCGTGCAATTGTTCAATATTCGTGGAAATTTTAATTGAATTTAATTTATAAATTAGCTTGATACGAAAGATGATTTCATTACTTTTGATTGTGTTTGCGGTGACGACAATTGTGGTGAAATATTTTATGCACATGAGTCGAATGGAAAGCTATGTGAAACACTTGGGTATTAAAGGTCTTTTGATTCCATTCATTGGCAATGTCCATGTGCTGTTGGGAAAATCGTCGCAGTATCTATTCAAAGAAGTGGCTAGAACGACACTAGAGATCGGTACACCTATGAAAGCTTATGTCGGACCTCTTTTGTTTGTGATCATTGATAATCCTTCAGATTTGAAAATAATCCTAACATCACCACACACACTTGACAAGCCATACGTGTACAAATATATGGTATAAATCATTTAAAAATTACTATCCCCTTACTGCTATGCATTCTTTCACTTTCTTTTGCAATGTCATTTTTTCTATATATATATGATTCAGCCTAATGGCAACGGGATTCTTGTTGAAACATGTAAGTCGTTTCTCAAAAATGAAAATTGAACATCGCATGATTGATAAAATACTTGGCCTCGTTTTTTTTTACTGATTTTTCAGCGGCACATCTGTGGAAACCAATTCGAAAGCTGATGAATCCAGCGTTTGGCATGAAGGTTCTTCAGTCATCGATGCATATTTTCAATGCAGAAACAAGCAACTGGATGAAATGTTTGAGTTTAAATGTTGGAAAATCAGAATTTGATGTGTTTCCAATTACGAATAAGCACACGATGAGAATGATGTGCGGTAAGTAGATAATTAGTAGATCTCTGGAATTCAGGTGCAGCACTTGAAACATTTAATGAAATTAATGCTCACTAGTGTACGCACTTCTTCGGTGCCAATAACAGCTCTGATCCTCTGGAAGGATTATTATCAACATTTTAATTGTGTACAATAACGCGTCTTATTTTTCGACTAAATCTTAGGTCTAGATTAAGAATGATGATTTTTCAATTTTTTTCATGTTACTCTAGTCTATATGTTTGGGTTTCGTCATGCATTTGAGTTTCGGTGTAGGGTGGTATATCACCAAAATTCAAGAAATCGTTTCTTTGTAAAACAGGCACTACAATGGGTATCGACAGCATGAGCCATGATGACGTAAGTCAGTTTCTATACAGCATGGAAACGTAAGTAGAGTGAAAAATCTATGATGAATGTCAAAAAGCGACGCGTAAACGGTAAAGGATCGAGTGCTATCTGTCAAAATATTTCCCCCTTTACCAAGCGAAATTAATTCGATATACGGCGCTGATGTAAATGTCACTCTGTCATTTCACAATAATAAATTTTTTGGCTTGACAATAAATAAGCTCTTCATTTAAAATGCATACACATGCTATATTGAATCGTTGAAAAAAAAAAAACATGTCATAAAATATTTTTCTAACGTTTTTCATTAAAAAATTTATAAAATTTTAAACAAAATACCCCATAGTATCATAGTATTTGACCCCAAATGGGGGGATCTTACTTTTTGTGAAAATTATCTCGGGGGGCATCTGGAAAAAACACTTTTCAAAGGTTTTTTGGTATGCTGAAGCCGAATTTTTGGGTTTCAGGCAAAAAAAATCAAGGGTTAAGTGGTTATGACCCCTGACCCCCCTAGGGGGTGGGGGGAGTTGGAGGGCAGCTGATCCAAAAAATTTCTCTCATCATTCTGAACAACTTTGTAGAACATAATTTTTTGATCCTATGATAAAATCGACATCCACAAAAAAATTGAAAAAAAAAGAGAAGTAAACGACCATTTTTGCCACTTTTTGTATGAAAAGTGCATTCAAACGTGATTGTATCGCAAAAAAAACGCCAGATTCGGCTTCTCCATGCCAAAAAACCCCCCAATACCGATTTTCACAAATCTTGAATAAAAAAAGTATTCATTTTAAAAACATTCCAAATTAGCCTTCTGAAGAAAATTACCAAGTCTATTTTTTTTCTTAAATGACCCAACTTTACAAAACGAAGTATGAGGCATGACTACACTCGGGCTCCTCTACAACACCAGACCCGTCAACTCTCTCGTACAAACCATGACTTGAAAATCTTATTACAGTGTAATTTCAAAAAAAATATTTCATCGATAAAATAAGAATCCAATGTAAATAGTAATAACAATGCGACACCTACCGTAAAAATGCAAAAAGAAACTTAGTTGGTCTCCATTGTAGCATTTTGGTCCGCCATGACAGCATCTTCGTTTTACTTGACCAATCACAGAGAAGCAAAACGAAGATGCTGTCATGGCGGGCCAAAATGCTACAATCCCAAATAAGACTCCTTTAGCATTTTTACGGTAGGTGTCGCATTGGTATTACTTTTTACATTGTATTCTTGTTCAATCTACAGACATTAGGTTTGAGCTATGGATATAGCGGCTGCTATTTCATAGCTGCTATTCATAGGCACTATTTATCTCGTTTTAATGCATTTATGCATATTGTGCGTTATTTTCTACATCTCTCTCGTACTCACATTCAAATGTACAAGAAATAGTAGGCTATGATATTCCTACTCGGTGTTACACACAGCACACGAATTAAATAGCGCCTATGAATAGCACCTATAAAATAGCAGCCGCTATAAGCATAGCTCGAGCCTAATGTCTGTCAATCTATGAAAAAAAAATTGAAATTATTGTTATTTTTAAACAAACAAATTTAAAATATAGAGAATTTTTATGAAAAACGTAAGAAGAATATTTTATGATATGTTTCTTTTTTTACTCGACCGTTTAAAAATTATTCATGTTGAATGAAGAGCTTATATATTGCCAAGCCAAAAAATGTATTATTGTGGAATGACATAGAGTGACATTCACATCAGCGCCGTATATCGGATAAATTCCGCTTAGCAAAGGGATAAACGTCGTACTCGGTCCTTTCCTTGGTTTCTGATCAATTGGTTCCCTTTTCTCTGCAGTGTCTTCGAAACTGTTATAAAACGTTTTCTCTTGGTTTGGACGCAGCCAGACTTCATATATCGTTGGACGTCCCTTTATCAAACAGAGAAGAAACACTATGATATTATAAAAAACTTCACCGATAAAGTAAATCATCATGTTTAAAAATACATTTAAAAATACTGTGTTTTGTTATGTATCATGAATGTCATTTCAAGGTGTTCGATGAGAAAAAAGCCGATTATTTTAGAAAAGCGTGCAAAAATGAATCATCGGAAAAAATGCCGCTTACATTAATCGACCATTTATTGGACTCCTATTTTTCTGGCCGATGTAGTGAGCGAATTATTAAAGAGCAAATGGAAACTGCATTAATGGCCGGCAGTGATACAACCGCGTACACCGTTTCTTTTGCAATTCTAATGCTTGCAATGCATCCTGATGTGCAAGAGAAACTTTTTGAAGAATTACATTCTTCGTACGATGAACAAGATGAAGAGACGTCATTCGAACAACTTCAGAAACTACCATTTTTAGATTGTTGTATGAAAGAAACAATGCGATTGTTTCCGGTGGCAAGTGTTATTGGTAATAATTGACAATTTCATTAAAAAGCTACTTTCATTCAAAGTTGAAACAATATTTTATAGGTCGGACCTCAAATGTTGACATTCCAATTAGCAATTGTACCATCCCAAAAGAAGCCACCATTATTATGTCGATTTTTACTTTGCATCGGGTGAGTTGAAGAACTTTCTTTGTAGCAATCAAAAATATTTTCATCGAAATTTTATTGGATTAAGCGTCGTGATAAATTCAAGAGTCTCAATGAAAAGCGGCAAAAGAACAATAACGTCATTTTTTGTCAAATAAATTGAGTATGATGAACTATTTAAAATATTTTAATCATGGTTCGGTTTTATTGAAAGAAAAAGTTTCCAGTTGAAGTTGATGAAAAAATTTCACCACAAACGACGAAATTCCGAAAAATTCAACTTTGGAACACAAAAAACATTCAGCATAAAAGTAATTCACCATTTCCTTCGATAGAGAAAAGATGTTTGGGGCGATGATGTCAACGAATTTAAACCAGAACGTTTTTCACCGGAAAACGTCAGCCAGAGACATCCGTATGCATTTCTTCCATTCAGCTGCGGTCCTCGTAACTGTATTGGTATGTCTTGGTCTTCATTTTTTTTTACCGATTTTGTTAAATTATTTCTTTCACTCTTTTCTTCTCTTTTCTTCCTGCTATCTACCTTGTAATTCATTTTTAGGTTATCTGCAAGCAATGATATTAATGAAAGTGCTTCTTTCGGCATGTGTACGAAATTTTAAATTGTCGACACATCTTAAAATGTCGGAACTTGAGCTGAAATACGACGTAACACTCAAATTAATCAACAAACATTTGGTTTCGATGGAAAAACGGGCTTGGTAGATTAAGAGTGGTGTAAAAACCCAAATAAAATTTTATTGAAATACACTGGTGCATTTATAGATTTGAAATGAATTGGAAAAAGTTCAAAATAACCAAACGGGAACATTCATGCAAGAAATAAAAAATGAACATTTTAAAAATTAAAAACCTTTTATGAATCACAGTATATAATAATTTGGAGTTTTCTGTATATGTGTGAAATTGCTTCGAAAGATCTTTAGCCGACTTTTCATGTTTATTTTGGTCTCGTGTTCATTTGTGCACAAGATGAATCGATACAAACGCCTGCACTTATGCAACTTGATTGTCTATGTCTATGTCTGTTGTCCAATGGTAATACATGGCTGCTCCACTCTAACTTCAAAATTTCGTAAGTCGATGATTAATGATTAAATCATTATCACTGCCAACATAAACTGACCCAAACCAAGTTGAACACGCCAAAAACCGGTAACTGAAATGAGAACACTCTGTCAGCAATCAAAATGTAAAAAAAACACACATGTTCTGATCGCAGGTATTTCTTATGAATTTCAATAGCTCTTTGTGCTGTAAATGAATCAAAGTTGTGCAAATGCTTTCAAAATGATGCAAACGTTGTCACAGTCAATTAATTTTAATGAAGTTGAGAATTTGATCGACCATTGTAAACGCAAAAATGTGATTATAAACAAAATCTGTTAACGCTGTGTTAATGCACTTTGTGATCAAGATTTAATGTTTAAAACGTATGTGCAAATCAGATTACGGCATTCATGAGTTGAATTGCATAGTTTTTATAGCACTCTTTCGTGTGCAATAAAGATTTTATGACATTACTCTTATTTTCTAACGGGAAATCGCAGAATTTGTTTTCTTTCACATGTGCCGGTGAGAAGAGCGAAAGTGGATCCACAAAGATAATTAATTCACATAAAATTCGAAGAAAAGAGTTTCATTGGCAAATTGAATTGTAATAATTCTAGCGATAAACATGCAATGCTCGCTTTTTAATTCATTTTATATCGTCAAATCAAATAGCTTCCAAACACGCCATTCGACAATTATGAATTATGTCGACGGTGGCCAGATTGCATATGTGCCTCTCTCTACACTGCCTTTTTCTCTCTCTCTCTTTCTCACCATTCGCCTTCATCTTCTTCTTCCATGTATGTCCGACATGTGCGTAAACATTATCGCTGGCACAAACAAAAGACGGCGGTTGTATGTGAAAAGTGAGTTTTCTCCCCGCTGCATGTGCCCCACATACGTAACTTCCATGGGAAAGAGTCAATAGGTGACGCATAAATTGCGTTATGCTTGATTTGATGGCATCGAAGCGTAACGCTTGCGTTTGCATTTGTGTGCATACGCATTTGACGTGAAGAAATTGTTTATTTGTTTTGAGGTCAACACATTTCAGGGGCCCACATTTCTGCACTTGGTATAATTGACTTGGAACAAATGCAACTCGATTGCATATTTACCACACGCATGAACAAGGTATTCATTCATTTACCAGCTATTAAATCATTTCATGAAATCTCATAAATATAAGAAACTTGTAATTGGCATGTATTAGATACATTTGGAGCTAAAAATAACCTTCACTTACCTTCTAGCGCCGCCATAGATTTAAACAACATTCTTTAGCCAATTTGACCGAATGTTCGCTGGCGATTTTATAACGCACTTTGAGCTTCGAGCATAATCGAATTTAAGCGACTGATTTTTGCACATTTTTTCAAGTTTATCTTTTTTAAGAATTTTTACTTGCAATAATTCATTTTTTTCGACTGTTTTGATTGTAAACGAATTTTCATTGAACTAAAAGATCAAGCCTTGTTCTTTATTCTAACGTTTTTCTTGAGCTAGAGATTCGAAATTTTAGAGGATTCTTGTATTTTGTGAATTTTTCCATGTTTTTCGAATAAAAATTCGGATTTTTGTGAATAAAATTTGATCTTTACGAAGACTTGGGCAAAGTCAGTAGAATTTCTCCTTCACAATACAATCGACCCATTTGCGACTCTTTCAAAGACGAGACATGTGCGACTCTTCAAATTGGTTTTCTCATTTCTAAAAATAGCCTTTTCAAATTTCTCATAAACGTCACAATTGACCAAGTGGTCAAAAGAAGTTTCCGTTCCAACGTCGACTTTATTTTTTGTTCCCTTAAAACCTATAATCATTTCAATCGGTTTGTAGTAAATGTTTCATTTCAAACTACACTGTGTGAAATTGATACTTTGCGAAAAAGTGAAAGAACGCATAAAAAGTACTGTTGTTGTGCGCGCGCGTGTGTCGGCAATAGCACACGACAACAACGTCGGTGAAATGTAAGAAATGATTTAAATTCAATAAATTTCAGCGGGTAATAAACCATGCCGAAAATATGATGCTGTTTCCGTGCATATGGTCGGATAATGAACCGTCATTAGTTACGTATTTGATTGCGCGGTCGCGCTCATTTCATTTTCTTTCATTTTTGTTGCCTCTTCTTCTTCAGCTTGGGCCCAGGTGCGATGCTTCTTTTGTATTCGTTTAGTGCGACCGACTTTGTCGAGTCAACAACATTTTACAGTGCTTTAGTTTTTCATAACAGTAGTTTTTTTTCGCGCGCTGCTGAGACAAAACGCATTGTCGCATGTGCGCTTTCCGACTATAAATACATGTGTCTGTTGAGTGGAATGGGTTTAGTTCGACTTATCACCTCGTTGAATAAAGATATATCCAAGTGAAAATTAATTGCAATTGCAAGAAAAAATGATTGCAATCGCGTTGCTGGTGTTTTTAGTGGTGACCGGATTGGTGAAGTATTTCCTTCACATGCGGCACTTTGAAAGTTATGTAAAACACGTGAAAATGGGTAATCGATCGTTTCCCTTTGTGGGCAATGCGTGGTCATTAATCGGAAAATCGACAGCGAGCTTATTCAAAGAAATTGTCGAAGTGACAAAGCTAAATGGAACCCCATTGAAGGGCTATATGGGACCAGCGTTGGTTATTTCATTGGACAGACCTGAGGACATTAAAACGGTCCTAATGTCACCAAATTGTCTCGATAAACCCTATTTATATCAATTTTATCCGAGACCATGTGGAATTTTAAACGCACGATGTAAGAGAGAAGATATGGTGCAGTGCAAAAAGTGATTTTACTTGAAAATAATTTTGTTTTTGCTTTTTTCCATCAAAAAGCCGGTGCATTCTGGAAACCGATTCGAAAGCTGATGAATCCATCGTTCAATTTGAAGATTTTGCAATCGTTTGTGCCGATTTTCAATGAGAAAACACAAACTATGCTTAGTAAATTGGACAACGAAGTTGGAAATAAAAATTTTGATATTTTGCCATTCATGAACTGCCTAACGCTGGATATGGTCTGCGGTAAATTAACGTTTTCATTTCACATGCAAAAATATACGCATTCATATTCGGAAAATTGTTTATCTCTCTTTTTGCAGCGACAACAATGGGCTTTAATATTAATTCGCGTGATGGAAACAGCGCATTTCTGCATAGCATTGAAGCGTAAATACAATTTTTTCTAGTTTTTTTTTTTGTTCGCATTTACTTCATTGTGTGTTGCAATTTGTGATTCGTTACTGACAACCTCGTCATTTCCTACGTGTGTGTCGTTTTTTTTAGTTTCTTTGACATCGCTGCTAAACGTATCATGAAATTTTGGACTCATTTGGATATTATCTACCGATGGACGGACTTGTACAAAGAAGAAAAAGTGCACTTGGAAAACCTGTTTAATCTCACAAACGAGGTAATTACCGTTTCAATATCGTGGAAAATTGATTAAGTTATCAGATGGAAACTGTTGATTATGTGTGAAGTTTCACAAGAAACCAATTTACTGATTGAAATGTGACGAGGGTTTCCAAAGAATATTTTACATTAATTTACATTGAAGAAACGCAGTTTTAGTGCAAAAAAACTCAGTTTTCGATCATTCCGAATTTTTCATTCGAAAAATGTTTCTATGTATCCAAAATTCCAGTGAAATGATTTAGGTTAAAATTCTCACAAAAATACAATGTATCGTTGCAACGTCGTACCAATCGTTCCAAAGCGATTGATCGACGTTCAAACAATGACATGTTGATTTTGTATCATCAAAATTGCCAATTTCCGCTAATAAACAATATTTCATTTAAAAATAGCTGATTTCATTCGAGAAAATGTCATTTTTCAGCCGCCAAACGTTTGAAACATCTATTCAAGAAAAACAATTTTTTTTATTATTTCATTCAAACAAGATATGTGAAGCCAAGAAATTGCAGTTCATTTCTGCAAATCGAATCGCTGAGCAGAAAATTGACGAAGATTCCGAGGAAACATATAAAACGCCACAAGTGTTGATTGATCAATTGTTGCAATTATATTTTACTGGAAAACTTGACGATAAAATTATTCGAGATCAAGTCGAAACGATTGTAATCGCTGGAAATGAAACTACCGCTTTATCGCTTTCATATATCACATTGTTGCTTGCAATGTATCCAGACGTGCAAGAAAAGGTTTATAATGAGTTGCATTCGATGTTTGAAACACAAGACGAGAAAATGACTTATGAACATATCCAAAGATTACCATACTTAGATCGCGTCATTAAAGAAGGTTTACGAATTAATGCCTTTTTAAATGAAAATTTAAATTAATGCCTTTTTATACGAAAAGGTTTACGAATTTTACCCGTGGTACCATTCATGATGCGTACAGCCACTGCCGACACACAAATCACCGATTGTACAATACCAAAGGAGGCATTCATTTTAATGAGCATTTTTAATTTGCATCGGGTGAGTTGAAACTTTTTTATTTTTTGGTGACTTTTTTGTGAGAGAAAAATTTCGCTCAAAAATTTCATCGGAAAAAGGGCAGAAAAGTGCAAAAATTGAAAAAATAAACTGAAAATTGTGAAAACATGAAGTTGTTTTTTTTTGAAAAGAATCGAATTTTTGACAAAAAAAAACGATTTCAGTGACCTTTTTTCAAGAAACATCAACATCATTTGAAAAATACCTTCATTTTCCATCCAATTAGCGACAAGATCTTTGGGGTGATGATGCTGAAGACTTCAATCCGGATCATTTCTTACCCGAAAATGTCAGCAAGCGGCATCCATTCGCCTTTTTACCATTCTCCGGAGGTCTGAGAAATTGCATAGGTAAAATATTTAATACACTGATTTGTTCAACGGCTTTTTCATATTTCTGCACTATGCAGTACCTTTAAGGCTTTTTCACGCGAAAAAAAGTGAAAAACGTTTACAAAGACTTCCGCAAAAAGTCGTAAATCATTTCAGTTAAAACTCAGTTTCATTGCGTTCCAAGAATAAATCATTCATTTCTCAACTTGAAAAAAAGGTTACAATTATGGGATGATCTCGATGAAAGTGGCCCTCTCGTCAATGTTGCGCCGCTATAAATTCACGACCGATTTAAAATTATCGGACTTGGAATTGAAATTTGAATTAACGTTAAAAGTCAGTAACCATCATATGGTAGGCATGGAGCGGCGTGTTTGGTGATCGTTCACGCACGTTCAAAATTTGCATATTTAAGAAATTAGTTGCGGTGTGTAAAAAAACCACAATTCAAATGGTATTTAAGTTTAAGAAATGTTTTTTTTTCTTTTAGGATGTAACTGTTAATAATGTGACATATTCAAATGTACAATATGGTGAATGCGATGTAATCTTGATGTATTTGATTGTGATTATTTTGATCGTGTAATTCGAAAAATAATAAAATTGTTGTTGTTTCAAATTCTCTATGATGTTTTGTTTATTCACGATGTTATACAATGTCCATTTCACTGTGAGCAATAAAAAATAAATTCGTTGACCGAAGTAACTAATGACCCCTTTCGCTTGAAACAGCGATTTAACTAATTGCAGCCACATAAGACTATAACATACAACAAAACGGACGTACAAATCGCTCCGAACAATTTATTGTCATATAGCAAAGGTAAAACAACAAAATTATATGTATCGCGAATAGCAATTATGTGATGGCTTGAAGTCGCTTCAAGTCCGATTTGCTCAACACAACAAATGGGTAATTTTCTAGGTAATAATGTTGAAGAAACCGGTGATTTATGAAGATATAACGTGACAAAAGTGAAAATTGATTAAGATTACGGTTAACCACTTTGAATTCTGAGCATACCATGTCAATGATTTTGATATGAAAACGTCGCGCTGAGGAACTAAATTTACTGCGCGAAAAAAAAACAAATGAAAAAGATAAGAAATAATCATGAGCTGCACTATTTTCGATATCAACTTCAAAGCATTGTATCGCATGTTCGAAATCACACGTGGAAAGTGGCACACTTTCGATACCGTGTGTAACTGACCACGGTCTATTCATTAGAGTGGCTCAAACTTTTGAGTTGAAATGACGTTAAACATCAACAGTTATTCACATGGAAGCGAAGGTTGGTTAGGAAATGAGAATCTTTTAAGTTGAACCGAGGTCATGGTTCACGCCTATAACTACCAACTTGATACCGCAAAATAAAAGTCGAAATTTTTCGTTTGACATTTGCTTTGATCGATCGGCATGTCGATCGGCTTAAAAAAAGAGAATTGTTTAATAATTTTTCCCAATTTTTTGGACTCGGATCGGATTCGAGCAAGAGCGGAGGTCATTCGGTCGGTTCTCGCGCCGATTTATCCATATTCTGATATTGGCATCAAATTTTTAACAACAGCGTTCAAACTTCTGAAACTTCATATTTTTCGACCAAATCTTTGGTTTAGATTAAGAATAATGATTTTCCGATATTTTTCATGCTACTCTATTATTCTAGTCTACATCTTTGAATTCATACAAAAACACCGCACCACATCAAATACAAATTACAATACACGTTTTTTTTTGCACACCATTTTCGTCGAACTGTTTTGTATCTCTCATTCGTTACGAGATGATGATCAATGGTAATGAAGCCGGTTTTTGTTTTGGTGTGTTTTTTTTGTGCTACAATCTTCAAGAACTCTCAGACGATACGCTACTAAACAACGCGCATATATATTTAATGACTGTTATTCCAGACAGAAATAAAAATAGATTTGATGCTTGCTGCCGAAAAAAATGATTGCCGTTTGCTTATATAAAAGATTCAATGATTGAAGTTATTTCAGTTTATTTGCAAATCTTGTCACATTTGGTTTTGTTCTTAAAGTGGTTCTATAGCATTAAAATTCCACGATGCTGATTTTAATTTTATTATCAATTTTGCTGCTCTTCGGAGTTGTGAAATACATTTTGCACATGCGTCACATGGAAAGTTATGTGAAACATTTGCACATCAAACAGCCTGTCTATCCGTTACTCGGAAATTCACTGGAAGTTGTTGGAAAAACACCACAAAAGCTATTTGTTGAGCTTGTTGATTATGTTAAAGAAAATAGTACACCATACAAATCATATTTTGGCCCAGTTCTAGTAATTACGATTGATCGACCAGACGATTTTAAAACGATTCTTATGAATAATAATTGCCTGGATAAACCGTATTTCTATGGATTCTATCCATCTAAAGTTGGTCTTATGAGTGCGACATGTGAGTTTGGTTTCGCTGATTTTTATTGTTATTGATTAGAGAAATAAAATGCAAAACGAAGAAGAATCGATCAAAATATTAAATAATGAAAATGTCATTTATCCAATGACTTTATATGCTTGGTGAAGTGTAAATTTAATTTATAAGATGCAAATTATGTTGTTTTCTTTCGGATGCACACGTCGGATGTATTTTGTTTATACTTTCTTGAAGTGTTCAAAGGTCAATTTTTGCGAAGGAAAGACGCAAAAAAGATATAATTACTATGCTGTTGTTTTTTGTGTACTCTAATGTGCACATTCGCTTTATTATAGCATAGTGAACATTCATGACCGTATTTATTAGAAAATGTTTCTCTTAAAGTGGCCTTACAAAGGAAGAACAAAAAATGTCTTCTTCTTGACATTAAATAATAAATGAATAATAATCTATTATTTTGCAGCATCCGCAATTTGGAAACCAATTCGAAAGCTGATGAATCCATCCTTCAATCTCAAGATTTTGCAATCATTCTTTCCGATTTTCAATGAAAAAACCAAAATTCTCGTTGAAAATATTGAACGCGAATTGGGAAAGCCACATTTTGATATCAATAAGTACACAAGTGCTTGCACCTTGGACTTGGTTTCAAGTAAGTTTTATCATTTTTATTTAAGTAAATATCGCAAAAAAAAACGAGTAAAATGAATCCACTGCCAAACTGAGTTGGCGGTGGTGAATTTATTCGTTCTTTTGATTATTAAAAATGATATGTTCGCATAAAATTCAATCCCAAAATTGGAAGAATTATCTATAATTCATGATCATTCTTAGTTCTTTCTCTTACTTAAATGTCTAGAATCCTCACAATTAACACGTGCTATTTTCTATTTTTATCGGGAGAAAAGTGTTGAAGAATAGAAGTGCTAAAAAAAGGTGACAACAAATTAAGAAATGCGATAAAAACTCAGTGTGACATAACTGTCATCTTGATCGATGTCTTTTGTGGCAAAAGGCTAATTAGAATCAAACGTTTTAGATTTTTCAAAGATCTCATGTGCGATCTTTTGCGATAAAAAATAATGTGATAATTTAATTATGTAATTTTTTTATAAAAATATTGATGGTTTGCGTGCCAAAACACACGATTTTCATATGCAAACTCCTTTTGCTTCAGATAAAGAAATTCGTACAATTAGTTGATTTCGATATAATCTCATCTTTTTTTATCTTATCTTTATTATGCATCAACTCTCTCCATACCTCTTTCTCTTATTTCTCTCAGTCTCAACAGCCAGTAAACTCGCGAACTGGCCAATGCTAATTGATTTATAACATATTACCAAATCTGCGGCCGAAGAAAATGTTTATCAGAAAAGGTAGTATTGTTCAAGGCCTCCACGCCTTATATCATCACGGAATGAAATTAATGGAATCGGAGAGAGCGAGAGAAAGAGCAAATTTGAAAAAGAGAACGAGAGAGGCCAAGAGAAAGAGTGAGAAAAAATGAGATGAAAAGCGAATGATCAACATAATTGGCCGCGTTTTATGCATAATTTCAAAACGTTTATAGCATTCAATTTCATCGATCAAAACAAGTTATGCATATATTTTTATGCCTACATTACATGAAAGCTCATTATCGATTCCATATCGATTACATCGAACATTTGTTGAAATTCTTTATTCCGGTCGCTACCGATTCAAATGGCACCAACGCCATTTATTTCACCGTCACACATTTATGCCAAAAATATGAGCACTGCATTTCTTGTGAAAAGATCAGTTACTTTACTGTCACTTCTTCCAATTTACGATAATTGAATTTTAAGTGAATTAACATGTGATTTTATTTGTGAGCGGGTTTTTGTCATTTTTTAAACATTAAATTTCCCCAGAAACAACAATGGGATACGATGTCAATGTGCAACGTAATCAAAACCATGATTTCCTCCAGGGTATTGAGGCGTGAGTGTAGCCACTTTAAGCATATTCATTAGCGATATAACGGCGTGAATTTTATTTCTAGATTTTTCGATATCGTCGGTCAACGTTTCATCAAATTTTGGACACATTTGGATTTTTTGTACCGATGGACGGCTTTATACAAAGAGCAACAAAAGCATTTGAATAATTTCCATAAATTAACAAAACACGTGAGTTGCGTTTTTATGGTCGTCGTTCAAAATTTAAATGTGTATGGTTTCATTTTTGCGTTGTTTTTTCATCGATTTCTAGATTTATCGTATCAAAAAAGAGGAGTTCATTACACAGAATAAATATAAGTTAATAGAGGAAAGTGATTCAGGTGAAGTGTATGGAAAACCACAGATTTTAATTGATCGACTACTTAGTTTAGTCCATGAACGTAAAATCGATGATCAAACGGCTATTGAAGAAGTTGGTACGAGGAAACTTTTCTCTAAACAAACTTGAGAGCTATTCTTAACTTTGAACCAATTTGATACAGAAACCATGTTGATCGGCGGCACGGAGACATCAGCGTTAACTACATCATACGTCGTTTTGCTATTGGCAATGTATCCAGAAATTCAAGAACGGGTTTATGATGAATTGAAGACCGTTTATAAGACACAGGACGAAGATACGAGCTACGAACATCTTCAGAAACTAAGCTATTTGGATCGAGTTATTAAAGAAAGTTTACGATTACTTCCGGTCGGTTCATTTCTTGTACGACGTGCCATAGGCGATGTTGAAATAAGCAATTGTACAATACCGAAAGATAGCTATGTGCTATTGTCGATTTTTAATTTGCATCGGGTGAGTTATACCATTACATGGGCTTTGCATATCGTATAAGAATTTGGAATTCAAGTGTGAATTCAAAATTAATACCGATTTTGTATTATATTTTCAAAAAAATTGAAAAAAAATCGTAGAAATTCGATGGAAATTGTGTTTCCTCTATTTTTGAATGAACCGAACGAGATTTCGTCAAAATTCAAATATCCTTCTTTTTCCATCGAAAAAACATTTCGTCAAAAAAAATTGAATAGTTTCAAAAATATTTGTTCCACAGAGAGTCGATATTTGGGGCAAGTCATCCGATCAATTTAATCCCGATAATTTCCTGCCTGAAAATGTTTCGAAACGACATCCATTTTCCTTCATTCCATTTTCGACGGGACCTCGTAATTGTATTGGTAATTTCTCTTTTAAAAAACTTGTTTCAAAATTCTCTTTCTACGTGAAAACCCAACAAAAAATAATCTTTCGTAAAAATTCACTTCAAAATCATCAACTTGAACTTCATCTCATCCGATCAAAATTCACCAGCATTAAAACCACACTAAAATATACCAAGTAACGATTATCTAGCATTTTTCGCCTATTTTTGTGCTTTGGTGTCGTTTAAATGGACCGAATTTGCATAGATTGTTGTAGTAATTAATAATTAATTACTAATTATTGGTTTCGTCATAAAGGTTATCTATATGGAACGATGTCAGTGAAGACGATGCTATCAGCGATTTTACGTCATTATAAATTCACGACAAATTTGAAACTATCAGAGCTAGAGATGCGATTCGCAATTTCGACGAAATTGTGCAATGGACATATGGTCGGTGTGGAGAAACGTGTTTGGTAGCGCAATCAATGACGTTTCCAACGCATTGTTTCTGTGATATTTGACCTTTTTCATCGAATTGAATGATTTTATCGCGATTTAATGACATGTAAACAAACAATTAAATGATATTTTAACCCATAACATTGTAGTTTCCATGTTGTTCTAGGCAATTTTCTTGTTAGTGGGTCGAGGAAAGTTGTTTTATTATTGGCACAAATCATAAAATAGGTAAAAGTTAAACCGAGTAACGAAAAAAAAGTTTAAATAAGAAATACTTTTAGTATTGTCGAAGGTCCGGCGTTGTTATGCAAAGCAAATGATGTTAAAATTCAACCATATATACAATTGCTTTCTTATCTTTCGCTCTCTGTTTTCATTTTCACACATCTCTTTCGCAAGCGACAATCGTATGCGTATCATAAAAAACAGTTACTGCTCTTCCGAACCGATTACATTGCCGCTATTACCACTGTTATTGCGTCTTATGTTTTGATTTACTTTCGCTTTTGTGTGTACACGCGCTCTCTGTTTGTGAACGGGTTAACGGCTTTGTGAAACGATTTCACGAACGAAGTGAGTGAAGTGGAAACGAAAATGTTCTTGTGGGAATCTCGCTGTTTTGATTGGAAATCATCTCATGTTCTCGGAATAAATGATCCATTGAAGAAAATTTATTCGGGAGAAAAGAGAATTAATCCATGTCAAGTGACATTTATCATTTTCATCGGATTTATTCGAATTTACCGTTTTTATTTCTCAATTGTGGGCATTTTTATTGCACCAAATAAATTCTCCCCACCAAAGTGGTTTAACGATAAACATTTTATTTACAAATTTTAAGAAATTTTAACAAATTTTAACAATGAACTCTATTTTTGTTGAATGAAAAACTTTTATTGACAAATATTTGATGTCTTAAAGGTGTGAAATTTTAAAAATTTATCCGAACCGTTCGATATATTCATCGCAATATTTGCTATTTAACTGCAAAACAATGTTTTCATCGTCAGGTAACAGTTTTAACTCGAACTCACTCGTTTTTCGTGTAGTGAAGTAACTTGTGCAAAAATATTTACTTCTTTTTCATATTATTCTTGCTAACGTTCGTTCTACACAACATTGCACTTAAAAACCGTTTTTTTTTGTTTGAACAGAATGACAAAAAATTGTGTGTGCATAACGTGTAGGAATTGAAGTCGATTACATTTTCCTATGTCTCAATATAAACCTGTATTTTTTTAAATTCATGCAATCTGCTATTCTTTTCATTCCCTTTCACAAATCACGTTAATTATAATCATATCTGCATGGCTCTTGCTGTCGCTGTGTAAAAAGCACATCGACGCACACGTTGAAAAGTATTCATTGACTTGTAACGATGTGTTTCACGTTTACAACAAGTTGTTAAGTGAGATTTACAATCGATTAAGTTTTATTTTCTTTATACGGTATGAACGAAGTTATACACTTTTATAGTACGACAAAACCAACAATTATTCATGTGTTCTACATTTAGTTCTCATTCATTCTCTATATTGATGTGCTCTGCTTTTTTACTCGGTGAAGGTTACTTTTTCGGACGATGAATATGTTTGCTCTCGAGTCGTCTGCGGTTTTTAAATAAAAATTAATTTGATTTATTAATTTCGTTTTTTTGTCGGTTTTGTTGTTTTTGTCACACACACACACACACACTTGTGGCAAAAGTCGAATGCATTCTTAGGGAATTAGTCGAAAACCGGCTTTGAATTTATTGATTTTTTTTTATTTTTTATTGAATCCGGTATTATGTTAATTTTTTTGCTAAAATATTGAGTGAAAAGGACTGACTGGTGTGGTGTTGTTTACTGTTTTGGTACAATTGAATACACGGTTTTCGGAAATTCCGCATTTTTAAGTGTCGATGACTTTAAGCAAATTACAATTTTTAACCTAATTTTGAATTCGTTTGGACTAAAATATAAGTTTTCGTATTAAGTTTTGTGCAATTAGCTGAGTTTTGTTACTAAAGAAACTATCATATAAAACTCCTAAAATAGGAGTTTAATCGATTGACATTTTTTTACGACGAGATTTTTTTTTCTTCAGAGAATTATTTTTACTTTTCCGCACTGTGTGCAGAAAAGTATTGCAATCACCCCAAAAAAAATTAACTTGCTAAAAATTGTTTTTCTACGCGTTTTGGGTTTAGAGAAGCACAGAGCAACCATGTTAATGTGGGGATGTGGTATAGTGCACTGTACGCAAAATATCAATAGGTAATTTGTTAGCACAATAACTCTCCTTAGAGAATAGCAAATCCAAATCTGATTTTACAGGGGGTTGCAAGGAATAGGCTGGTATTGTTTTTGAGCGATATTCATGCATCGGTGTATCCATGGTGTACCCCTAAGGGGTATGGCATGCAAAAATTTGTTAATTTGATAACTCTTTCCCCAAATATATGTGTATTGGGGGGTTTTTTGGCACGAGAAAACCGAATCCGGCGTTAGTTTTGAGATACAATTAAGTTTTGACACA